CGTCGGTGTTTTCGAGTTAAAGGGAGGACCCAGTGTGGCCGGTATGAAAACAAGCCAAAACTTCTCATTCGTCGGTAAACACTTCGCATGCCAATAGGTCTTCCGTGTTCTGCAAACCATTCATTTGCAATGGACCTGGTAGTGGAGAAACGGTCCCTTAAGGCCAATAATCTTAGGCGGCGATCTTCACGGTCTGTTGTTCTACGGCGGCGTCCAGTGCCCCTTGCTCTTTGCGTACGGCCTTCTCAAAGCCATGCCTGACAACACCTAACCACAGTGTCTACACTCCTTTGCACTCTAACTGCAATTGCCCAAAAAGAAAGTCCAGCTTCCCGAAGTCCCACTATACGGCCCCTATCAAACTCACTAAGTTGACGAAATCGTACAGGTCTCCGTACTCTAGGCATCGTAACCGATCGTAAAGGATGTCAAGAACCAAAATACGCCAACGTTGATTCTTTACTGCGGCTGAAATATTCATTTTTAGAGCGTTAGTGAATTAAAAAAAGCAGTATAAAAACCGGAATGTCCAACTGATAAGGCTGAAATTTTGTTCACTTGTTATTTACAGTAAGATAAATACATTCACCAACTTTTATTAAAATAAAACCATTTAAACTGGGTGTTCGGATTTATATGTCACTTAGTATACTACAGTATTTTGAACGCTAAACATCGCAATCCATCCTGTGGAACCAGGTCTCGAGGCTTAAATCTAAACTCACCCACTAATACACGACTTTGTGGATTAAAGAATGCAACACGCCAAGGCCATTATTACTTTCGATTAACATCTGTATGCAAAAACTCAATCAATCATATTAGAGGCACCACCTGGGTCGGAATTATCAAAGATCATAATCAGGCTCAGAGGATTTTATCTACGTATTATGCAGTTTTTTGACCAAGAAAGTACAATGAAAGAAAATGTTCCTTTAAAATATGTATCTAGGTCATTAAAAAAATTATAGTTAATGGAAAATGAGCGAACTTGATATTTAGTAACACGGGACCATATGAATAAAAGAGAGTATATGCTTACACTTGTAAAATTCAAAGTAAATGCTTCCAGGGGTATGAATAAAATTATAAGTAATTACTTTTGTATATTCTGGTGCGAAGAGGATAATGTGTAGTGGTTATCTCAAAATCTTAAGGTGGCGTAGTGGTGCATTATCAGCTTTGCACAGAATGAAAGTATGTCTAAGATACTCGTATTTGGAAAATCCAGGTTTTCAAATCGTAATTGGCGAGCAGCTATGTATTGAGCAATCCCGTATTCCTCGCACTGTGAGACTTGTGGTAAAAAAATTGCTACAGGTTAATCTTTGGATTCAGTTTCCTATAAGTCACCATGCTATCATGAAACTTGAAGAACTGTGGGCAAGCCAGTTTACATTTTCGACTACTATTGGAGCACTATTAGACTGTTCACATGTGAATATACAGAAACCTAAATTACATGGGGACGCATACATACACCGCAAACGAGAAGCAACTTTGAACCTATAAGCTATGTACGTGCAGTGGAATGTATATATTCAGCAGCGTAAGCTTGCTGGGTTCGGTATATGAAGCGTGAAATTATGAGTACCAATATTTTAGACATGAACTTTTACTCATGTTTAGGAAGCATTTACTTGGAAATATAAAGTAATCATTATTCATATTGGATTAGGCAATTGCTTTTACTTCTAGCTTTTGCTCCAAGCGTTTGCATTTCCCTCTACCTTATTCATATAAGCATACACGTGATTTTTATTCATATGGACTACTATTACAAATAATCACTCAAGGAAATACTAAATACTCACCATGCTACCAGCAGTGACGCAGTGACGCAAAAGTGGCAACAACTGAGCACAGACTGAAACAAGAGAAAATCAGTCTATAAGAAAATTCGGTATTGTGATGTGAGAAGAGTAAAGGTGGCACTGCTAAAGATCGCGGAGAAGTAGTCGTAATAGCGGTTTAGCAACTAGGCCACATTTGACCCTTATTGCCGGCTCCGTTGTACCAACACTGTACTACTCCACAAGCCATCTATTCATAACTGATTATTAAATAAATCAGCTTCAATGATGCGATATACCCATCGTTGACCTTGCATCGATCTGTTGCCTGATATAGACAACACACATCACAACACCCATGGCTCAGAATTAATTTCTGAGGCGGAGATGAGATAACAGGGAGTGTTTTACTGCTACCATACGTACGGGTTCGTAGTACAGCGACTGGCCCCACTACTCATAGGCGGCAATATCAGCTTTACCTATGGCAAAATTGAGACTACTGTTGGTGAAGATGTGGACTTTTTTGGTAAAAAAATATTTGTTTTCTGAAACCTCAATTGGTTTGTCATCAAGCCTGTACAATTCTGGAGTGTAATTCGAACATTGGTTAGTACGTATTTAATGTTGCATTGCTATAAGAAAGCCTCAGGTTTGGGACAGCACCTCAAAGAACACATAAAGTGAGAAGAGATAAAAACAACCTACAGTTTTTTTCTCAAAACCTCTATTTGACCGGAATACACCTATACTACAAGTACTTACTTGTTACTAGTATTTCAAGGTATATGTATATGCTTATAACACTAGAACTGTCCGTAGAATGAAAATATGTACACTGTTATTCCTTGAACTCTTTCAGACTGATTGAGATCTAAATTGGTTACGTATCTCACAGCATACAGTTTCTCCCCTAATTTGACTCGGCTATGACACCCCACCTCACTGATCTATGCCTGACCTAAAGAAGCGATAATCTGGTGTAGCTTAGGACGTCATATTTATATCTAGTTCAATTACTACGATGAAGGCTTCATTTTTCTGAGAAAGGAGCAAAGGAAGAAGGCAATGAAAAGTTAATCTCGAATGCACGAAAACAATTTCACGGATTTTCAGCTCTAGTTTATCAAAGAAGTGGGACGTTAAGATGAAGTTGAAGCAACGTCTGGTTAGTTCAACTTTTAAACTAACTTTTAAACAGCTTCAGATACTCAACAGCTACCGTCTACACTAGTTCTCAACAATGTGTTGGAAGAATATTTGACTGAACATAACTAAATATACTTTTTATCTCTAATCAATACAGGGTGTAAACGTTATGGTAGTCATTATTGAAATGGGTGATAGGGCTGGTTAAAACAAGTCAAAACTTTCATATGACCCATGCTCCAAAAGTCAATAGATTTTTGTCTGAATGGCTTTATAGTTTACAACTTTAAGTGCTTTATATCGACCACAGTCACCACAATCTTACTAGTTTTTATTACCTAATCTAAAACGTTTTTAAATTGGGTAATTAGCAAATAAATGGCATTAAGTTTTTCTAAGCTAAGCCAGAATTTATAGTCAGTAACTAAGTAAGTTTCATCAAATTAAATATTTAACACACACGTGACAACAGCGCGTCGATATTTCATCACTCTTATCGAACCGGCAATCGATCGCAAACGGTAACAGTTGTTAGTTATTGTTCGCGTACGTCGTCGTGTTTATTTACGATGTTCTCGAATCAAGAGTTCGCCGACATGTTGTTAGTTTACGGTGAAGCTCTTCAGAATTCAAATCTTGCAGCTCAAATTTATCGCGACAGATTTGGCCAACGGGTACACCCAGACAGAAGGACTTTTGTACAAGTGTACCAAAGACTTCGAGATACAGGAAGTGTTCAGCCCACTAATATTCGCACTCGTGAAAGACATGTTACTGTAGAGCAGGAGGAACAAATTTTAAATATCGTGAAAATCAATGCAGATATCAGCACTCGGGAATTAGGCCGCTGCGTAGGACTGTCGCATACATAGTCCATAGAATCCTACGGGAAAATTTGCTTAATCCCTACCATGTACAACGAGTGCAGGCCTTGTTACCAAAAGACTGTCCTCGCAGACTAACATTCTGTCAGTGGTTTTTGCACAAAAAAATTGAAAATCCGGATTTTTTTAAAAACATTCTAGCGACGGACGAATGTACCTTTACGCGAGACGGGATATTAAATTTCCATTATACTCACACGTGGGCTCAAGAAAATCCTCATACTATTCGTGAAGGTCATTTCCAACAACGTTTTAAAATAAATATGGCGTATGTAAGAAAAACAAGAGTATCGCACTATTCGAATATATTCTCCATATACAACCGCTCGATACCACGTCTAGTTCTTAACTGACTTTGACATTCCACAACCGTTGTCAGGTATATACAATATGATACATTACTATGAAAACATCAGTACAGTAATAATAATAACACTCGGCTATCCTGACCATTAGGCTGTCCTCAGACTAATTAAACGTTAGAAAAGCTTCAATTCTCAAAGCTTCAAAACCTAGACTTATAATAACGTAGGAAATATAAAAAAAAATTACTTCACAAGATCTTACATAATGCATATCTCAAAATAACAATAAAGAGAAAGGTAAAATAAAATTGCAGTCCAATCAAATGTAGTGCAGGTAAGGAAAGATTTGCGCAAATGTTTTCCACATGATGACGTTCATCTACAAGCAACGTTTGCCAGGCTGTTCGTAAGTAAGCGACGTTCGCTAATAGGCAACGTTTGCCGAAAATAACGTGGAAGCGACGTTCGCTTGAAGGCAACGTTTGCCGAAAATAACGTGGAAGCGACGTTCGCTTGAAGGCAACGTTTGCCAAAAATAACGTGGAAGCGACGTTCGCTTAAAGGCAACGTTTGCCAAAAATAACGTGGTAGCGACGTTCGCTTGAAGGCAACGTTTGCCAAAAATAACTTCTTGAAAATACGATGTTCGCATGTGGGCAACTTTTGCCTCTAATTATCGTTTATTAGGGTCACCCATGCCTTGACCTGGTCTGCAGCTACAACAGTTCGCTTCCGTTTGAAGCCTTCTCGTAAGTCTTCAACTTCGTATCGATCGTTGAATATTTTTTTCGTAACTCGAAAAGGTCCCTTATATTTTGCATGTAGCTTATGGCTAGTTCCCGTAGATGGTATACTCGTTATCAATACCCTGACCAAGTCACCCTCGTTATACTGGGTGGCATTGCGTCGACTTTTATCGTAACGTTCTTTTTGTTTTTTTTTGATCATCCTCAATATGTCCTGAAATCTTATGCCTAACCTCCTCTAGGTCAAGTCTATCTATCTCATTTTGAATTGCACTCAAAACTGTCGCCTCAGCTGCATGTTTAGAATTGTAACCAATCAGGGCCACCATAGGAGTCGAATTGATGCCTTTGTTAAAACTCGTATTCAATGCACTTTGTATTTGTTTTACGTATCTATCCCAATCTCGCTCATCTTTTCCTGCAGCAGTTGTTGATAGAGCACTTACGATTGTTTTGTTGTAACGTTCACATTGACCGTTAGCCCTTGGCGTGGCGACTGCATTTAGGACATGCCTTATTCCATATGTGTCACAAAACATTTTAAAGGTTCGAGATGTGAAGGCCGTACCTCTATCACTTATAATTCTTGAAGGTACCCCAAATACAATTACAAAAATATACTTATTTTTTCTTTTGCTTGTCACAAATGGTCCAACATGATCTACGTGTATCGTATGAAAGGGGATTGGATGTTTTTCTATAGGATTTAATTTGCACTGCCGTTTTGAGGAGCACTTCTTATAGTACATACAGTTTAGGCAAGCGTTAACATATTTTGTTACGAATTTTCTCATTTTCGCGAACCAGTAGTTTCTTCTTATTCGCTGTAAAACCTTTTCTACTCCAAGGTGTCCAGAATCGTCGTGACATAAACGACAAATTTGCATACGTGCTGCTAATGGAACAACCCATGCTTTAGTTCCATCGTCTAATTTCCTGTACAATTTGTCGTTTTTCAATTCGTATTTATCGAAATATAACTTCGTCTCATTATTCCTTACTTTACTCGATAGTATGTTCCGAATTCTACAAATCTGTTCATCCTGCAATTGTGCTGCAGTAATCCAATCCGCTTCCGTCAAATCTATTTGGAACACTTCTAACTCAAGGTTGGTGATTGCTATAGGGTTTCTACTGAGGGCGTCTACATGAGTCATTTTTTTACCAGCTCTATACTCAATTTCGAAAGAGTATTCCTGAATCTCCAACCACCATCTTCCAATACGAGGAATTAAATCTTTTTTTGACAGGGTCGTCCGTAAAGCATTACAATCGGTGACTATCTTGAAATTTATCCCCAGCAAATACACTCGAAAATATTTTAGAGCGTAAACTACAGCCATAGTCTCGAGTTCGTATGAGTGATATTGTCGTTGATCACATGTTGTTTGTTTGCTAAAATAGGAAACGACACGTGATTTACCTTCAGAGTCAAATTGAAGTAACATTGCTCCTAAACCAATAGAGCTCGCATCTGTATGAAGTTCTATCCTCAATTTGGGGTTATATATTGCAAGAATTGGACGTGATGTTAATGCCTCTTGAATTTGATGGAATGCCTGCCTTTGTGGTGCGTTCCAGGTCCAAATTTCATTTTTACGGGTTAATCTTGTTAAAGGCTCGACAATCATGGAGAAATGTTTAGTAAATTTCCGGAAATAACTGGCTAATCCGAGGAATTGACGTACTTGCTTAACGTTGCGAGGAAATGGCATATCTAAAATTGCCCGGATCTTCCTTTTTCCAGGTTTCACCCCTTCTGCGCTAATTTCTCTTCCAAGGTATTCAATTGTCGTTTCCAGAAATACACATTTACTGATTTTCAAAGTGAGGTTATGTGCACGAAGTTGAATTAATACTTTTGCCAACCGTTCTAGTCCTCTGCGATCGTAGACGAGGCAATTATGATATCATCGATATATGGAAAGGCGTATTCATTTTTTAATGGTCCTAGTACTTTGTTGATTAATGATTGGAAAACAGAAGGAGCATTGGTAAGTCCGAAAGGCATCCGTAGAAACTCGTAGTGGCCGTCAGGGGTTACGAATGCCGTTTTTTCAATAGAGTTGGCAGCCATACGGACTTGATAAAACCCGGACGCCAAATCTAAGCTTGTGAAATATTTAAATCCTCCTAATTTATCTATTTGATCCTCAATATGCGGTAATACACTATGATTTCTTATGGTGACCGCGTTGAGCTGCCTGTAGTCGACGCACATTCTATAGTCCCCATCCTTTTTCTTCACTAGTGTAATTGGGCTGGCATACGGGGAGCTAGATTCACGAATTATTCCGTTATCTAATAGTTCCTGAATCATATTTCGAAGAATTTGCTTTTCTATGTCGGGCATTCGATAGGGATGACGCGCAACTGGCGTGTCGACCAAACATTTTATTTCCATTTCTACTGTATCCGTGTTTCCTAAATGTTTCATAGAAGATGAGATGCAGTCCGAAAAATGATGCAACAAAGAAATGCAGGCCTTCTTATCGGCTTCCGAAATAGCACCTATCTGTATATTATTGAGATCCAAGCCATTGTCGAAAACTTCTATCAAGTTCACAAAAAGGTTTTCGGTGGGAGGCAACCTATATAAAATTAATCGGTTCTCACGTTTAGTCATAACCACGTGTTCTTGGTTAATAAAATCTCTCCCGATTAATAAATCAAATTTCAGGTATTTGTCCGGAACAATTATGGCACGCACTTCTGCTGAAACTCCCTGTATACTAGCGGTGATCTTGCAAAACGATGTACTGTTCACAAAGGTACCCATAAAACTGTACAAAGTCATATCCTTCGAATCCGTACGAAGAAGGCCAAGTTTTCTAACGAGTGATTCTTTTATGAGTGTGTTAGAACTGCCAGAGTCTATTAAACAGTTTGTTTTCTTTCCGCAAATTCGGGCATTTTGCAAAAAAAATATTAGAACCCACACTCGTTAGTGCTTCAACTTGATGCACTTCCTTACGCGGAAAAGGGCACTTTTCTTTAAGATGTCCCAATCTTTTACAGTTGGTACATTCCACGCGTGGCTTTCTGCAACTGGATGAAATATGGCCCGGAATACCGCAATTAAAACATGTTGGGCGCGAGCCTGAAGGCTTATTGACTTCCTTTTTATTACGATTGCCATAACCAGATCTGAACGACGTTGACGGCTGAAAATTTCCACTATTAAGATGAGGACTTTTTTTTTCTTGAGGCATTTCGCCTACAGTGTTTAAGTAAGCATATAGAGCGTTTGCGTCCGTATGTTGTGCAGCCCTGACCGTTCTTGCTATGTTTTCATCCCTGATACCACCAATCACTGCATCAATCAAATATGGATCAGGTATTTGTATATTGAGTGCTCTCAATTTGGACAGTTTTTTGAAACAATAATCGCCTAAATTTTGCCCTGGTGCTGCGTCGTAGTTAGCGGCATCTTTGAATAATTTAGAAAATGGGACGGACTTACGAAAGTGCTGGCTCATTGATCTTTTAATTTCATCCCAACTGGAGTCGTAGTCCACATTTTCTTCGTACCACTGACGGGCATTGCCTCGCAGTCTTCCAGAAATCAGTCGTAGAATGGCATCGTCATCCCAGTGATAGCGCTCTGCCAAACGGTCAACTTTATCCAGCCACTTATCCACCATCACGTCGTCCCGATTAGGATCAAACGTCGGCACTAAGAGTTCATCTCCCGTACGAATGATTGCCGGGTACCGTCTCAATTCGTTTAATTCTTTTCTCAATCTCTTTATAGTTTTTCTTGAAGACGATCTATGGGAAGAGGCCGAACTCGAACTGTCACTTTCACTCGAGGATTCCTTTCGGCTCCGCTTCCCACTTCTATTCCGCGATTTGAATTTAGTTTTCCCCATGATGTAGGAAAATTCAACTGATTTTAAGGTATCCCACCGCTGCTTTGTAAGAAAAACAAGAGTATCGCACTATTCGAATATATTCTCCATATACAACCGCTCGATACCACGTCTAGTTCTTAACTGACTTTGACATTCCACAACCGTTGTCAGGTATATACAATATGATACATTACTATGAAAACATCAGTACAGTAATAATAATAACACTTATATTCTTGACGATCAGGTAATTGACCTTTTCGAGTTACCCCCAAAGTTGTCAGGAGAAGGATACCGTGGCTTCCTAGCTAATAACCTACCAGAACTTTTGGAACAGACCTTAGACAACATGCCATTACAATGAAGACGGAATTTGTGGTTTCTTCATGACGGTACACTACCACACATTTTTAGAGGCGTCATTCACTATTTGAATGAACATTATCCAAATCGCTGGATCGGTCGAAATGTTCCTGATCCTCGAAAATGGCCAAAAATGACCTCAATCCGATGGATTTCTGGTATTGGGGAGAACTTAAAAAGATGGTTTATGGGGCTGGTCCAATAACAGCCGAAGCACAACTTCGCGAAAAAATGTTTAATGCGGCTGAAATAATAAATGGACAAGTTCGAGGACCTAGAGTAAGAAGAAACTGGGTTCGTCGTAATGAAGCTTCTGTGGAAAGTGAAGGACGACATTTTGAACACCTTCTTTAAATACAAAAAAAGTGCAGTGTGGGTTTTAAAAAAAAAACAATGTACATATGTATCAAAATTGTGTTCCCTATTTATAAGTGGATTTTGTTAATACGTTCAATGAACTTTCACACACCAGGTGAAGCTCTGAGACAGTTAGTGGTAGTCCGTTTTTTTAATTGTCACTTTTCTCTAAAAAGATGTCATTTTGACCCCCATGTTATATGAAACTTTTTGCGTCTTTTAACCCTCTCTATCACCCATTTAAATAATGACTATCATAACGTTTACACCCTGTATATTTGACTTTTTATCAAATTTAAGACTGCGCAGCAATTAGCCATACCAGTAAGCTAAGTCCATCAAAAACTGCCCCGTCTCCCGGTGTGTGTCACAATGCTATAGTGCATATACTATATTTGCGAGTACCGTTATTATGTACTATGTAGCTATATAGCAAAACATATTTTTGTCTGACAAGGAAACTGTCTCAGGTATCCGCCCCCAATTTTGACGAGCTTCCAATATGTTATTATACGTCAAAATCTAAAAGACACCTATTTTGAAGTCAGCAGAAAAATGTTCTTGGAGTGAAATCAACCCCCAAAGGTAGGACCGACAGAGGGAAAAATGCATTTGGTATGTCATATTATTGGGAAAAAGCTATAAGGTTTGATAATTTGGTTTTGACAACATTTATTTAACAGAGAATCTTCTAACTCCATCTTCATGATTTTAATTTTAAATAATAGACGAAAAAAAAACTAGATTAACGTGTTTTTGTGTATCTTTTATTATATGTTTACACTGGAAATCAACCCCCAAAGTTGATGTCGAAAGAGGATAGTTTTGAAGTTTCACTTAGTAGCGCAATTGTGATTAAGCGGGAAGCCAGAAAAGTTTTGACCCAAAGTGATAAAAGGTACAGTTGGGGTAATGTGATTTGGGTGAAAAATTTAAAAGATATAAAAATTAAAAGTCATAAGTTTTCATAACTAAAAATCTATTGGTAAGTTAATCAGAAAACACGGGTTTTTGCGTTTTTCAGACATACATAGTTTTTAAGGGGTATTCGGTGTTCTGGGGAAAACATTTTCAAACAAAATGACTGCAGTTATAACGTGATTCCGTGCATTTTTGCAAATTAGCTATACAGGGTGCTGCGTGAGAAAATGGACATGGTGAAATGACAGGTAGTGTGGACCGACACTTTTTCATAAATTAAAATAAAAAAGTTCTAACGTCACTTTTTACGGATTTATCTAAACTCGCCAAATCTTTAATATCACATATCTCGGACACTATTGAAGCCATGGTAATGATATTTTGTACAATATCAAAGTTACCAAGTAGTAACGTAAAACTAGTAACTAAAATTTTCTTAATTTTGTTGTATTTTATCAAAAATACATTTCAAGCTAAATACTGAAATATTTCACAAGTTACAAAGGATAAAATGTTTTGTCAATTCAAATAAATTTCAAGCAATACCAACTTTATTTCTACAAAATCTTAGAAAATATTGTTTAGAATTGAACTAAGGATGTACTGAAAACTCAAGGGCAAAATCATTTTTTTAGTTTTCTGTATTCCATTAAACGGAACTCTCTGTAACTCATACTCTGAATTTGTTATTGTTTTACATAAATGGCATATATATAATAGACGAGTTGAGCAAAAGCTATAAGCTTCAAACAGAGATAAGAAATTAAACGTAGAAAAAAATAATAAAGATCATGTCATAAGCAAACTAGAGTTCGTCCTGCACTCATCTGTCGGAACTATTCTTGAACCTGTTAACTTTGGACGCATTAACAACGCCGTAGAGCAGCCTGTTCCAGGTATTGAATAATTTATCGATCAAACGAACTTACCTGAAGTTCGATCGTAATTATATGAGGGTCCAGTCCGAAAATATTACATAATTGTGTAGTAGTGGCTTTCCATACTTTTTATCACGAGGTTCAAAGCAAAGGAAAAATGCGCCCGTCCGGTCCTGACTGCCGTTCACCTTGATGATCTAGTGGCGCACCGTCCTATTCGCTTCATTCTTCAAAGTATCCAGATGTATTACCTGCAACTCTCAGGGGCGGGTAGGGGTAGGGTTTGTAATATTTTCGGACTGGACCCTCATATAATTACGATCGAACTTCAGGTAAGTTCGTTTGATCGATAAATTATATTTCGGGATCCAGTCCTCAATATTACATAATTGTGTAGCTGTTTAAAGGAAGTTGCAGTAAGACAGGTGGAAGCAACTTTTATTTTAAGAAAAACGAAAAAGTTGATACAAACGTTAAACAAATTCAAATAACCGTAAGTATATCCTCTATGTTTCTGATGATAATAGATTCAAGACAGATGTTAAATAATTGTCTTTCTCTACTAGAGGTCTATTGTAAAACCTTGCAAAGGTTTGAGAGTCCTGGCTCCAACCAGCTGATCTGCGTATTGCATCTATATGCACCCCTTGTCTTAGCGCACATGAAGTGGAAGCGTGCCTTGAGGAATGGGGTTTGAACATATTTGTGTCGATTCCTGCCTTTGCCATTGTATTTTTTACCCAGCGACTCAAGGTTTGCTTAGTAGCTGGGCCATGTGGTTTATTGAAGGTGAGAAATAGCTTATCACAATCGGCAGGGCGGAGTGGTTTAGTTAGTTCCAGGTACTGATGTAGGCAAGAAGCAACACACAAGTTAGGACATTCATGAAAATATGGCAATGACAACTTAGGTTGAAGTGTTTTAGGCCCTGAAGTTTTCTCAAAATCGGGGATTTGGATGTCTGCCCCTGAGGTAGAAAATTTAATATTAGGACATCTAATAAGAGCAACAGTCTGGATTCTCTGTCCGGTAGCTAACACTAAGAGAGCAACTAATTTACAGGATACGGATCTTAGATCTTTATCGGGCGGTTTATTTAAAAACTTAAGTACATCTTGAGGATTCCACGTAAAATTATATCTAGGCCTAGGCGGTCTAGTTCGAAAAATTCCTTTCATAAATCGTTTTACCTCTGTATTTGTCCCTAAATCGCTAGAAGTGATAAGGGAAAGAGCCGCCCTATGGGAATTGAAGGAACTATAAGTATTATTTGATGTGTTCATAACCTGCTGTAGGAATGAAATAATATTGGGTACGTCGTATTTAAAAGGGAATATGTCCCTCA